GTGGCGCTGCCGCCGCTCCCCTCCGCCCCTCCGCCCCTCGGCGCATTGCGGGCACATCCCTGCGCTCCCCGCAGCCCCATCCCCGCCCGGCACCTACTCTTGGCCTGGCTGAGGTGCAGCGAGTGGTCGGACACCGGCAGCCGCGCCGCCTCGCCGGGGTACACCTGCCCGCCCGCGTAGTAATGGCACTGCTCGTCCCCGCGCTGCCGCGCCGCCCGCGCCTCCTCCGCCTCCGCTTCTCCTCCCAGCGCCGCCGCCAGCAGCAGCAGCAGCAGCAGCGCGGGGCACCGAGCCCCGGCCCCGCCGCCCGCCTCCATGGCCCGCCGAGCGAATGCACGTCCCCGCGSCGCGGTGAGGGGCGGCGGCGCCGGGGAGGAGCTTGGGCCGCTCACGCTGCTGCCTCATGGCCGGGCCGGCGCGGGGAGGCGGGAAGGGCTGAGGGGATGGGGCTGTGTCTGTGCCATCCCGAGCAGCACAGGCACTCCCGAGCCCGGCACAACTAACCCAGCGCAAAGCATGTCACCCCGGGTCAGGTATAGGAGCCTGAGCCTGGAACAGCCGCCCCCGGGCCCGGCACAGCCGCCCCGGGCCTTGTCCGGTGTGTGGGGCTGCGGCCTCGGAGGAGATGGRGAGTTGTGTAGAAAAAGGGGGAAAATACACGTGTGTGTGTGGAGAGAGAGAGTGCGCACGGAGCGTGTGATTGCATAAGGAAACGATCAGTGCAAGAGGCTTCTCATCTGCTCTCCTCTCTCTTATCTGTGGGTGCTGTGGGCATCACTCGGGCCGTACCCAGCTATGCCAAGCGCAGCTTGTGGGCTTTGGCCTCATGAACACAGGAAATGTGAAAAAGGGTACTGCCTCAGGCCCAAAATCTTGGATTGTTGCCAGATGGACAGCAACTCRTGAATGGGTGCTGTGGTGGCTGTGTAAAGAGTGTGGTCAGACAGAAATGTAATGCTAAATGCCTTAATCCATAGAATCACAAAATGGTTTGGATTGGAAGGGACCTTTAAAGACAATCTATTCTAATACTTCAGCAGTGGCAGGGTAATTTTCAACTAGATCAGGTTGCTCAGAACCCTGTCCAGTCTAACACTGAATGTTTCCAGGGCTGGGACATCCACCACCTTTCTGGTCAACCTGTGCCAATGTTTTGCCACCCTCGTKGTAAAAAGTTTGTTCTCTATATTGAGTCTTAATTCTCTCTTTTGTATTTTAAAACCGTTACTCTTTGTCCTATCACAACAGGCTCTGCTCAAATATATGTCCCCATCTTTCCTGTAAGCCCCCTTTAGGTACTGGATGCTGTTTTAACATTTCCCTGGAGCCTTCTCTTCTCCAGCTGAACAACCTCAATGCTTACAGAAGAGATGCTCCAACCCTGTGATCATCTCTGTGACCCAGATGCTTTGGTTCAAGTTTGCCTTGTGAGAGGTCATTTTTCTCAGTGCTGAGTAGATTGTGGTTCATATCCCAAAACAATTACGTATTTGTCACAGATACACAGATAAGCATAGAGAGAATGTAATTCCRCAGTGCATTTAATAACAAAGATTTTGAAGACAGTAAGTAGGCTGTGACAAGCAGTTAGTAAGGCTTTGCAGCACAATTTCTGGACTGGTACAGGTCAGCTCATCTGTCCAGTGTATCAATTAAATTGTGTCCAGGGTCCTTAAAAATTAAGATGTGAAAGAGCTGGAGCTGTCCCTTGTCAAAAGTGTTGGCCTTTTGTGYTTTGAGCACCATGCATGCCATCTTCTGGGAGAGCTGGTGGTCCAGTAAAAAAGCTTTTCTCCAGACTGACAATGTCAGGAACATCTGCACTGTACCCTGTCTGCACATGATTTGTGGTATGTGTACCTTCAGGATGGTACCTGTGCCTGAATGGACAATAAAGTTTTTCTCAGGTTTTTTTTTTTTTATTTACATTTTTTTTTTTTTTTTTTTTTCAAATGATGCAGAACAGGCAGGTAAAGAGTGGCAAAAGAAAATTCTGAGGGTCATTTTGAAGAATGAAGGCTCTGTAAAAGAAGGAAGGTATAAGCAAGGCAGCTGTGATTATGTGTTGTGTCTTGAAAAAATCCTACTACTTTTGTGGTTTTCTGCAAGAGATTTCACTCTTTAAAAAGACACGCCACAAAATTAAATTCCCAGGAGTGGGAGAAAAAAGATCTTGAAGGTGTGCTTGCACTTCTTAACCTATGATTTTAGTGGTCCTTTCTCCCAAAGCTCTGACTTCTCTCCAGAAGGTTTTCCTTTTCTTTCCCATCTCTTGTGGTAYTTGCCTTTAAATCTTGACTCTTGCCTTTAAGCCTAGACCTTGCCAGTCTAGGTTCTACAATTTGGGGTCATGCCATTCATATCATTACTGCCACAGGAATAATCTTCCTTGGGCATGTTTTCCCACCTGAAGGAARGGATTGAAGATTACTGAGGATTGGAAGGRTAAGGCTGTGGAACAACCCTCTGATGAGTACAGGAGCAAAATACCTGCAGTTACCAGGCTTGATCAGCATGTGTGGAATTAAAAAGAACTGTATTAAATGTCTGCCTAGGGGGGAAGTAGACTTGATGGCACATGAGATCCCTTTGCCCTGTTTTTTCCACAGGGAGTTGATGGTGGCCATTCTCTGGCTATACCCCCTGAAGTTTTGAAAACAGGATGAAAATGTGTTCTTTTCAGTGCTGCTGTTTAAGTTTGACATCCTTCCCCTGTCAAGATCATGTCATTAAAAGGAGGTTGAAGAAAACTTGTTTGYTCATGGTTGTGGTGCAAAAAAGCACTGGAAGAATCTTTGTACTCCCACTTGTCTCAGAATCAGATGAGCTTTATATTTAAGCTTACTCCAATGTATTGATAGATTACTGTCTTACATGATCCAGGCCTAGTAACACTGAATTTAATATCAAGCTTTCCTCAGTCTCACTGCTCATAAGAAAAGTGACAGTCATGGCCTCTGAGTTCACAGAGAAAGTTATTTTGGTTGTCCCTGCTCTTCTCTTTGTGCTGGTGTTTTGAGCTGTAGGAAATGGCAGTGATTTGAAAGGTAGACATACAGTGAGGTTGAAAAAAAATGAGAAATTGTGAGGTATGCACTTTGCATAATGTTAACATTGCTCAGTTAAAAGGTATTTCCATGTACCTCTAAATGAGAGAGAAAACCAGTAAAATCAATGYAGTAAAGATAGAAAAAAACCAGGCCTCTTGTGAGTGGAGAAAATGCTGAAGGACAAAAGTGSTTTTTGACTGCAGAAGTTAGTGTTAGTTTCAGAGCACTAATTTGAGGTTTGTATGTGATTAAGTATATATGGGCATGGAACGGAGTTCAAAAGAGCAATAAGAAAGACTTTCTGGCTAATGCTGTACTCTCAAGACTTCTACAAGTGATTAAAAATGAAAATTTCATAAATGGAATCCAGGATGAAATCCAAATATATATCACTCTTCAGTGTGTAAATGGAGAAGATGGGCAGCAATCTTTCCTTCCTCAGTGATTAAATAGTTGAATTGAATGCTGATTGTTGTGTTTACACCGGTGATATTAGTTTTGTGTGGTAATAAAGTACCTCACTGCAATTTAAATGACTGAACATAAAAATACCTTGGAAAAATTAGCGTAATATATTGTAGCAAGATACCTGTCACCRTTTCCTGGAACAGATGGAGCAGATGTTCAGTATTGTGCTGGTTAAATTAGCAGTTGGTTTTATCCTCCTCAGGGTTTACAGGGACATTTTAACAAATWTGTTGCATTGTCAGGCATGACAAAAAATCTATAGTGTAGGAAACTTTGCTGGAGAAAGGAGGGTAGAAAACATCTGTTTTGTGAGGGGGTTTGGAACAGAATGACCGTAATTAAAATTACCAATTAGAGAAGACTTCTTCTCTTTGGCTCTTGCTAAGAGCAGACTGATGGGTTTAGCTGTGTGTGTGTGCTGACTACAAAGGGGCCTCAAAGAAAAAGTGTATCAGGCTGAGAAACGCTGGGTGGTGCCATTTGCTTTAACAGGATCTGCATCCTGACTTCTGACTGCTGCTTTTGTTGTCAGCTAGTGGAAGCAGTATGGCTGACTAAATATAAACACAGRCTTTGTAAAATCTGCCACATTGTACTATAGAAGCATCAGAGATAGGTTTATKCCTGACGCCTACCTTTGGGGAATGCATTAGTGTGCGGAGATGAATTTGTTTTTCTTCTGCAAACACACCTGCCATAGAAAAGTTCTGCTTCATTTCTTTCCCTTTCTCCTCCAGCTGGCTCTGCTGCTTATGTCATTGGTGTCAGAAACCCTGCAGGGCCGGTGTGATAGGAACAGAACAGAGTACATCACTGATGTGTTTGACTGAGCATAGTAAAAAAGGGTGATGGGTACTGCTAGTCCCTGTGTGTTCTAAAGCACCTCCTGTTCCAAGCTTTCTTCTGCCTCAGTGCTGACAGAATCTACAATTTTGTGAATATAAACAAACATTGTGAAATCACCTTCTTGAGTGATAAATCATGCAGTCCTTGCAGGGCCTCATCAGTTTTCCTTTGGCTGTCACCTGGGGGTGGGTTGCAAGTGTGTTTATGCTCTATCCCATTTTTTTTTTCTTCCTTTAACAAGAATGTATTCAAAGAAAGTACCCAAAGCATCTCTGTGCACTAGCACAATTTTTGGACAGCTGTACTGACAAACGAGGACAGAGAGTCATATGCTGTTCT